TCCACGAGTCCGAAAATGGCACAATTTCCCACCTGAGCCGCCCGAATTCCCGAACCAGGGACCAGTCTTGGTGGTGGGGGGGGGAAATGCGGCACCAACCCTTCCCACCCGCCCGGTCCTGAGGGATTTGGAAGTCGAGGAGGAGAATTTCATCTCTGCCAGAGGGAGAGAAGGAGCAGGAGCTCCCTCATCACGAACTCCCCCGGGCCGTGGTTTTCAGCCATTTGTTCCTATTCAATGTTACAGTTAGGATGCAAATCGGTCAAACTCGACTCCCACGGGCCGGTCCCGCTGTCCGGGCTCCCCCCAGGCTCGACCCCAACACAAAGGAGCCCTTTCAACCCTGCAGGGCTCCCCCCGTGTCACCCTCCCCCCATTTCAGGCCCTGGCAGAGGGATGGAGATGCCGGTGATCCGAACACGGGATGGGATGGGATGGGATGGGATGGGATGGGATGGGATGGGATGGGATGGGATGGAATGGGGGGTGGGGGAGGGCAGGTGGAAGCCCTGGGACACCCCAGGAATTCCAGGGGAACCCAGGGTTGGCAGAGCAAAGTGCAGGTGCCCGGCACTGCCGAGCGGGGCCGGGGGCTGCCAACCCCCCCGGGGAGCCTTGGAAAAGCAGGAAAAATCACCACAGGGCAGAAAGCAGGTTGTTTTGCCCCAAAGGCGTCCACAAGGTCTTCAGGAAAGAGCTGAACCAGCACGGGGAGGAGGAGAAGGAGGAGGAGAAAATGCCACCTTCATCCCACCTGTGCTCACAGGGGGATGTGGCACCACCAACCTGACAGAAAATCTGACTTCCCACCCTAAAAAAAACACCCCCAACTCCCTGCACATCCCCAACACCAAGCCAGCCTGGAGAGGGAACTGCTCCCAAGGGAGGCCATGAGGAAGGGGAGGATGATGAGGGGCACAAAGCAGCTCTTCCAGGAGAAAATTCCACTCCCTGGAGCCCAAAGGCCCACCCTGACCCTGGCTCTCCTCACCCAGACAGCCTGATGGATCAACAGGTCACCTCTTGAGCCCTCCACCTCCTTCAGAGGGGACATTCAGCCCCTTCCCAGGTTTTGGGTGGCTCTGCTGAGACCCCAGCGAGGGACGAGCATCATCCCTGTGCCCCAAAGTGACTCCTGGGACATCACCCATCCATCACCTGGATGGGAGCAGAGGATCCTCCTGAGGCTGGATCCCTGCAGTGGATTCCTGCTTTGCACCATCCAACTCCATCCCAGCTGGAGAAACGGGACCTGAGCCCTCTCTGGGATCTGCTTCCAGGGCAGCCTTTGAGGTAAAACACACCCGAAATGGGCACAGGGAGCTCCAACCCTGCGACTGAAACAACAGTAAGTCCAGCTGTGGCCAAATGCTTGTTCCCCTGCTTGTTCCCTGCCCAGGTTTGGAGCTTTCCAACCATTTTTTTCCTGGATTTGCAGAATTTTCAAGGCACTAAAGAGCTGGGAGACGTGGGAATGGGGTGGCATCGGGGCGTGGAGGGAGGGGGAGAAAAGCTGCTCCTGCACCCCCATCCTGGTGGGGCCACCAGGATTCCCTGGAGTGCTGAGGCAGGAAAAGCCCTCCATGAGCTGCAGGCTCAGCTCTCCCATCACACAAAATCAGACACTTTTCCTCCCAAGAGGCTGGGGAAGCTGCTGCCTTTGATCCAAACGCTGTCCCAGATTTTTCCACCTCTCCACCCTTTGCTCACTCCTGATCCTGCCAGTGAAGCCCCCGCTGCCCTTGGCCTCTCCTTCTCCCCAGACCCCACAGCAAACAGGGAACCAGCAGTGGGACCAGCCCAGAGCTCAATTCCTTCCTTCCTTCCCCTTCCCACCACCACTTTTCCCAGAGAGACAGGTTTTCCTGCAGAACTGAGCGCTGGGATGGCCCAGGAGAGGCCACGTCCCGCTTTGGGACAGGGAATGGTGGAAACCTCTGTGAACCCACGGGCTGTGCAGGAACAGCTTTACAAGGAGGGATAGGTGGTTCTGGGGGGGCTGTGTGGGATCCAAACCAGAGGCTGGATGTGACCCCAGTGACAGACAGGAGCTGGGATGAGCAAGAGAACAGAGAGGGAGTGGGAGAAGACAGATCCCATCCATGGAAAAACCCAAACCACTGGACTTCCCCTGCTTGTGATGAGGTCCCAGGTTTCCTGCTCAGCCTTTGCTTTGGGTTTTGCTGTCCCTGGAAACCTTCCAAGTCTGGGGAAGCCAAACAAAAATCACCTGGACAAAACCAACTTGGCTCCAAAGTGGCGAAGTGCGACCTGAGGGGGGAGGAGGGTTTGGCTGAGGAGGAACCTGGGAGGGGGAGGAAGACCAAGGGTTGATGCAGCAACACGGACTGGGATGAGATTCCTTCCAAGAGCCTGAACTCAGGTGAAACTCCTTCCTGTTTCCAAACCACCGGCTCGTCGGCACCTCGGGAAGCACAGACGGACACACATGGACACACATGTGCCCAGCACCCACCTGGCAGGAAAACAGACCCAACTCCAAGAGTCTCCCAACAGGGAGGATGGGTTCTTAACCTGCCCTACGAACTGGAAGCTCCATGAATCCTTTGTTTGCTCTGGTTGGGAAGCAACAGATGCGGAACGTCATCGCAAGGAAGAGGCAAAAGACCGGGCAGCGACGCCGTCCCGTGCTCCCTCCCCTCGGAACAGGCAACTTCATCCACGATTTAAGGCCACCATTATTAAGGTCATCGAGGTCATGTGTGTGGGAGGTGATCCCTGGGAACGGAGGGGTGGGTTTTCGCTCAGGTGTGCGGCGGAGCTGGGGCTTGGAGATGGTGGATTTTGGGACTCGCACGTCGCTGCCTGCCGGGTCCATCCCTGAATCCCAGAGCGCCCGGTCTCCTGCGGATGCCCATCAGCACTGGTTTGCCGTAGGGAAGGCGGGAGCAGCCTGGACAGGCCGTACCTTTCCCAACCCCGTGGCCAAATTCACGGCGTTCCCGCTCCCGCCATGTCCGAGATCCACCGCTGGAATTTGGGAGCGAGGAGAGTGACCCCGATTCCCTGTAAGCTCAGAGCTCCAGGAGGCTCCTGCGCCAAGGTGCAACGTTTGAGGGAGAGGGGAGCGGGGATGAGCAGACGCCTTGGGAGCAGCACTGAGTGTCAGAGCCCCCCCCTGAGCCCCTCTGCTGAGGGTGGGGGGCAGGGAGAGGGGGTTTGGAGCAGGGACTGTGCCGAGGGGATCCCCCAGGCACGGAGGTTTAGTGTTACTGTCACAGATCCCTGCCAGCCCACCTTTCCAGGCGCTTCTCAGAGGGGGCTCTGGGAGCTGGGGGGGCTCTGAGGGACTGGGGGGCTGTACAGGCTGTGCAGTGGGAAAGCGCCAGAGCTGCCCTTAACTCAAAAAAAACAACAAAACAAAACAAAACAAAAAAAAATCCAAAAAAAAAAGAAAAAAAAAAGAAGAAATCAAAAAAAAAAAGAAATGAAAATCCTCGTGGGCCCGCCCTGGGCAGGGCCAGGGGCCGTGGTCAGTCCGTGCTCGGCTCCGGGCCATCATCTGCCGGCAGACTGGGACTGTGGGGCCATGATGACGTGGGAGGGCAGGCCCAGCTCTGTCCTTTGCCCGGCCATCTGCGTCAGCACCGAGGTGGCCACGGCCTCGGCCGCCGAGCGCACGCTGAGCCCGTTCGGGGCGGCCGACGCGGAGCTGTGCTGGATGACGGGCGCGGGGGAGCCCGTGGGCTCCGAGCTCTCCTTCGGGCTCTCTGCTCCAGGGTGGGAGGGGGGGAAGGAGGGGAGGGAAATAAGAAAACAAGGTTAGGGAGAGGTTAGAGGAGGTTGGTGGTCGTGGCACGGCGAGGAGGGGCAGGATTGAACGCTCACCTTTCCGGCCTGGAGCGGAGAGAGGATGATTCCTGTGCAAGCCCCGCTCCACCCCACCCCCATCACCACATCAGGCACTCCCCTGAGCCCCCAACCACCCCAAGCAGCTGTTTGGCAAAAGCTGCCAAACACTGGAAACAAAAACTGATTGGAGGACTGGAAGCAAAGCTGCTTTGAGTTGGGATCTAACGACCCCCTCCCAACCCCAGGCCCTGCTGGCCCTTGGAGAAGCACCGTGGAATCCTCCTGAATCCCAGCCAGGAAGCCACAAAGTGCAGGCTGGACCTCGAGGAGGGTGGCACTGGCATAACCTTCACCCTAATCAATGTGTTTCTTCGTTACAAGGAATTAAATTTGCCCCCACGCCACCTCCTCTTCCCCAGGCTGAGACTGAGCAGCCCCTTCCTCGACCTGCTGGGTGGACATGGGGGGATGTGAAACAAATCCCTTTGGCAGAGCCAAAAGCTGGGCTCTTTGGGGCATTTTTGATATAAATTACCTGGTTTACTCTTTTTTTTTTTTTTCTCCAGGGCATTAAAATCAACCAGAGTCCCTTTGCTTACTCCATTTTTTATGGTAGCTTTGAAGCAGCATCACCGAGGGGATGGGGGTAGAAAAAGGCAGAGCCCTTCTCCCCTGCTCTGTTCAACTTCCAGAAATTGGGATTTTATCCCCCAGGGAGCCTCCAGAGCTCCTCACAGCAGGTCGGAGAACGGGTTTGGGGAAGGTTGAGCAGAGCAACGTGATCATCCGGCGTCCCAAAAATGGGGAGATTTACAAGATATTAAAAATAAACCTCCCAGGTGGACAGGAGGCAGCTGCAATTCCAGCAGGGAATTTGTAACAGGACCAACCACAAATCTCAGTAATAAAAGAGGCAGAGGGGAGGGGGTGAACCTCATTTTTAGTATTCAGATGTGTCACGAATTCCTGTTATAGCAGCGGGCAGACTTGTGAGGAATAGTAACAGGAATTGCAAACTTTGGAAGTTAACAGAGGGGGGGAAGAAAAAAATGAGGTCTCCTGCCTGGGTTCTGCAGGGCTGGGACACGGGGACATCACTCAGGCCCTGAGTCACTGCAGTGAGTGACAATGAATGGGCTGGGCCAGACCCTTCCAGGACAACATTCCCAGAGAGGGGATCACGGGCCAACCCCCAAGGACACTGGGGGTTTTTTTTTAATTTTTTTTTTTTTTGCTTCTTTGTTTTTTTCTGTTCCCCCTTCCCTTCTCTCCTCTCATCCATCCCTGCCTCTCCTCCTGTTATTCCAGGCAACACTAGAGGACTCCACTGTCTTCCCAAAGCCTCACAGCTCCACAGCCTGCAACTGGTACTGCAGGCAGGGCAGAAGGACCCAGGATCGTGTTTAGCTCCAGGGTTGATTATAATGAAATAGGCAGCATTTAAAAAAAAATAAATAAATAAAAATGAAGGAAAGAAGATTAAAAAAAGAGGCTTTTTTTTGCTTCCAAACCGAGCCAGTTTGATGGGAATTGCAGAGAATGAGCTATGGAGCCCTATGATGTCATTTATAGAGTCTGGCCTTTCCTGACTCTGCCTTTGCTCTGGGGCAGCAAGAGTTTTTAACTTCAAAGAGAATATCAAGTGCTTGGCACGTTGCCAGGAGCAGGGAGAGACTCCAGGGAGAAGCAGAGAGATGGATCTCTGTCCAGTATCCCACACCAGAGAAGGCAGAGGGAGTCACACACCTCCTTCCCTTCAAAGACACCAGACAAAGTGCCAATCTGGGGGGTTCCTCCTCAGCTTGGAGGCTGCACCAGCAGGAGATGCCCTGAATGGCACATGTGGCATTCTTGGGGTGCCCTGTGCAGGGCCAGGAGTTGGACTGGATGAGCCTTCTGGGCCCCTCCCAGCCCTGGGTGTTCTCTATTCCACGTGCCCTGAGAGGAGAACTCTCTCCCTCCCTTTACAGCTTGTAATCCTGACCTGCTCAGACCCACTCAAAGGTAACAGGGGCCAGCAGAAGCCCACCACTCACCCAGGTAGCCCTGTGTCTTCTTCTGCAGCGCCGTGACGGGGCAGTCCTTGTGGGCCAGGAGGAGCTGCTTGAGCTGGGCCACCTCGTTCCTCAGCAGCGTCACTTCATTCTGATGGGGGCAAACACACGTGGGCATCACTCACAGCAGCACCAGGATGTTCAGGGTGTACCCTGCAAACTAATCTGAGATACCTCTGGCCCAAGAACACCCGGCAAAGTTCCTGGTTTTGAGGAATTTAAGGCATGGGCTGCACTGATTCCCTGCCACCGGCTGCAGAGCTCTTGATATGGTCACCTAACCCTGGGCAGAGCTTTTCCTGAGCCCTCCTGCCGGTGCCACCTGCCTGAGGGACACTCTGGAGTGCTGCTGGCTCTGCTGGGACAGGTGGGAGTGTACAACCAGCCCAGCCCAGGCAAGGCTGTGGGGGGTACACTGCAGCTTCTCCATGCTCTCAGTACCTCTGCTGAGCTCCCAGGAGCCAGGTCTGCTCCCCAAAAACCTGTACAGCAGATTATTCCTGAGAAATGTCTGGAGAAACAGCTGAAACCCAGACAATGGTAGCCCCAAACCGCCCAAGGAAATAGTTTCTATAATTGTCTTGGGAAGAGGATAAAAATACCGTGGTCAGAGCTCCAGCAAAGATCCCAGTGCCCGAGTCACTGGCCCAGAATGGAGCCAAGCTCAGTCCTCACCTCACCCTCAGTCAGTGCTGGGAACACAAACAGGGTTAGTTAACAGGGGTTTGTGGCACTGGGAGTGAAATCTGTATTTTCAGGTGTGCTGCACCTCTGGTTGGCACGCCGGGGTGCTGCCAAGAGCCAGGGAAACCCAGTTCTCCAGAGGAAAATCAGTCTGCAGAGCCTCCCTGCTCCCCCCTGCCGGGTCCAGTGAGCAGGGAAGGGAGCTGGGAGAGCTCTCCCTCACTCTGGAAAAAAAACCAGCTCCTTTCCCGAGGCTCCACATGCTGCCTCCAAGCTTGGCAGCCAGAGGGCAGAGCCTTTCCAGGGGCGGCGGGGAGAAAAAAAGGAACACTGAGGTGCTCTTCCCCCTGGGGGCTGCTTTCCAACCCATCAGGATGGAAGGCCAGGAGTGAAATCTGGGTGGGGAGAGCAGCAATCCTGCCCCAGGGAGAGCAGCACCCCGAGCACATGTGGGGCAGATGTTCCCTCCAGAGGGATGTCCCCAAGGGCTGCTCTCAGCCCCTGTTTTACATACTCACGCTCAGCTGGATGTTCTGGGTGGTGAGCTCCTCGGCTTTCTTCTCCAGGGAGGACACCCAGAGCTTGCGTTTCTGCCGGCAGCGGGAGGCGGCCGCCCGGTTGCGCTCCAGGAACCGCTGCCGGCGCTCGTCGGGATCCTCGTCCACCGTGCGCTTGCGGCGCCCGCCCGTGCTGGGGGTGGGCTGGGCGGGGGACACCTGGGGAGGGGGCAGGTGGAAGACACTGAACAGCAGCTCTGGGGCAGCAGGCAGGCAGGCAGGACGCTGTGGTGCCACCACGGCTTGGCAGAGCAGAGGGTGGGGCTGGGAGAGCTCGATCCCGCTCGATCCTGCTGCCGCATCCGCTTGAGGGGCCACCTCTCTTTTGGGGTCAGGAAGTCAGGGAGCAAATGGCAGTTTCTGAGCGGGCAATCTGCTTAAAAAATCAATTCATTTGGGTGAACTTCCCCTCGACAGCTTCAGCTAAACAAGCTCTCGGAGGTAAACGGTGCCAAAGGATTTTGTAAAGCCGTGCGTTTCCCGGTTTTATTTCGGGAGAACAAAGGAAAAGCCAGCGAGGGCTGATGGTGCAGCAGCCCCGGCTGCAAGGGGCAATTACACCCAGGGAGTGCAGCCACACTCCAGCACTGGCTGTCGGGCAGCATATGGATATTAAAACTTCTGGAAGCCCATCCAAGTGACGGAGCAGGTGGCGATCCTGATGGAAGGCTGGCATTTGGCTGGCTGGCAGGAGCCAGCGGAGCTGATTGCCTGAGAGGGGAGCGTTTAACCCCAGTAATTGAGCAGGGAGAAGAGAGGGAAACATTCTTTCCAAACTCCAGACCTCATCAGGCAAATGAAAGCGGTGCTGGAGCTTCTGCCTGGTGGGGCTGTGAGCGCGTCAGCGCTGGAAAAACAAGGCTTTAACCCGTTCTGTAAGGGGAGGAAACTGCAGATTTCCTGCTCCTTCCCCAAGCCCAGGAACGCCCCAGCACCTCCAGCCCAGCCTCGTGGGGCAGCAGCAGCAGCAGACCTGTGGCTGAGCCGGGGAAGGGGCGTCGGGGTGCTGGACGAGGATCTGGCTCTGCTCCGGCCGCGCCGTCACCATCGTGCTGGCTGAGCCCACCACCAGGTTGCTGCCGTTCAGCGAGGAGGAGGCCGTCAGGCTGGCCTTCAGCCTCTGTGGAAGGAGGAGAAGGGGCATCAGGGGACCTGCTCTCCGTGCTGCCAAGGCTCTGAGCAGCTCCTGTCACCCAAGGAGCCACCCTGCTGGCAACGGGCCCTTCAGAGGCTGCGGCTGACTCGAGTCCAGCCCAAAGCCATCACCATCTGGCCTGCCCGAAGAGAGAGCAGTGTCCAACCCAAAGGACAGGTGTCACGTCCCAAAATTGCTGCTGCCACTGGCACCAAACCCTTCCCCAGCTGGCAGCCTCCATGGAAAGCTCAGGGACTGAACGGGCTGCAGAGCCCAACTGTTCCCGAGCACCCACAGAGGGGTCCTGGGGGAAGGAGAAGGACCCACACGTGTCTTGCAAGTCCTTTCTCTGGTCAGCCAGGCCAACAGGTCTGTTTTGTGCCTCAGTTTATGATCTCTCTCCCCCACCTGAGGGTCTGATGTGCCCCTGAGTCCTGCAGACCCTAAAACAGGAGTGGGGACAATATGCTGGCAACTGTGGGAGAGGTGGGTGTGCAAACACCTGCCCGGCCAAAAAACTGGGGGTTTCAGAAAATCGTGGAATCACTGAGGCTGGAAAAGCCCTCTGAGATCACTGAGTCCTGGCACTGCTGAGCCATGTCCCCAGGTGCCACATCCATCAGCTTTGCTTCCCCCCTGTGCACACCCAGCCTGAGCTGTGAGGGGCCGGGAGAGGAAAGTTCCTCTTGTAAACTCTTAGTTAATGTGTTTGACACGACCAGGATCTCCTGAGTTACAGCCCAAGCCTCTCCTCCCGTGGTTCTGCCTTCCTCAATCCCACCTCCATCCCATCTTCCTGAAGTCTGTGGGGAAAAAGCCTCCAGCCGGGAGTTGCTTGTGGAGGTGGTGGTGGTGGTGGTGGTGAAGGCTGAGGGACAAGGACAACACCGTGACCGTGACCCCCTTCCCCAACACTCACCATTTTGGCTTCGGAGTGCACTGGGAGTCCTGATGGGGAAATGGACCCGCTGCTGTTGACGGGAGGCCCAGGAATCCCGGGAATGTTCGGCACCATCGACATCGGCCGAGCCAGCTGCGGGGGAAGGAGGGACAGGCGGGTTGGGAAGTGGAGGTGCTTTGGCTCCGTGGAGCAGCAACTCCCTGACCAAGCGCATCCATAAATCCTGACAAACGTTTAACTGCAGCCATCCGTTATTCCTGCTGTCACTGAGGGCCACCAGCCACGTTGGTGGCCACGGAGGCTGTTCCAGAAATCACCCAAACAAACCAGCCCAGCACGGAGAACAGGGAGGGGGGGGCAGCTCCTGGTTCCACTGCAAAGCTGCCACAACACCCAAAGGGGAGGTCACAGCGTCCCTTCCTGAGCTTTCTCCCTCAGCAAAGGGAGGGAAAACCAGAATTTGGACATGTTTATAAGCCCCACGGGTGGCAAAACACTGCAAATTGCGAGGGAAGGGGTGAGGATGTTCCCATGCCCACAGGCCATGACTAAAGGTGTACCTGAGGCAGTTGTGCGCTCAAAGCCTCAAGGATGTGCCCAGCAGGACAGACAGGATTCCCAGGGCTGGGAATCAGGAGCTGGAGAGCTCAGAGAGCACACACTCAACACCCACCAGGCAGATCTGCACTCTCTGCGTGCAGAAGCCCAGCCCGAGGCCGCTGTGGCTGCTCCCCTTGGCCAGCACACACCAACATGTTCCCTGCAAGCTCCGATGGTTTCAGTGCAGGCACGCTGTTCCAAATGGAAGCAAGCTAATCAGGGATCCTGCAGCTCCCAGCCCCGGATCGATGGCGTGAGCCATCTGTCCGGGCACGGACTGGCTTTTTGGTTTTTTTTTTCCCCCCAACTTATTGCCCTCTAGTGTGATCCACACGTTATTGCCACCCCACCAGAGCTGCTCCCTCCACCTCCCCTTCCTCCTCCTCCTCCTCCTCCTCCTCCTCCTCCTCCAGCCTTATCTCACGCAGAGGGGGAGAGAGGTTTTAATGTTTATGAAACGCGAGTGTTTGGCAGGGGAAAGGGGTTGTGCTGGAAGCTTCTCTCACCGATATGACAGAAGGCATCTGGACGGGGGGGCCGGGGAGCACGGGCACGGTCTGGCCGTTGGCGAGCTGCACGACGAGCGGGAGGGAACCTGTGGGAGACCTGGAGGAACAAACAACAAACCGGAGCTCTCGTGGATCGTGCCAGGTTTACGATGTGCAGGCAGCCCCGGGAAGCTCAAGGGGTAGGGGCGGTTGGTGGATTTGGGCTGATTTGCCCATTTCTGAGCTCCCACGGGGGGTGTTTTGCAAGGATTCGGCTTCCCATTAACAAGCTGACTCCAGAGAAAAGCCCCTAAAATGGATGCTGGGCTGGCTTGTGGTTCCACAGGGAGATGGGAACTGGGAGATGGGACATCCCAGCTCGCTGCAGGCTGGGGAGGAGGTGACTGTGCTGGAGCCTAATTGTGACAAATTAAAAATACCAGGAACTATTTCTACTGTAGATTGTTTCTGCAGTTGACAGGCAGGGATAAACCCTGAGCAGGGACATTCCCTCTGCCTCCATCCCACCACAAACCCCACCGTGCTCCAGCTCCAACCATCCCAACTCAGCCTTTCCACGAGAGCAGAGGAAGAGCCGGAGCTGCTCCAGATGACGGGGAGAGGAAGGAAACCATCCCTGCCCCAGGGGCTGATCTCCTGCTCCTCCTCCTCCTCCTCCTCCTCCTCCAGCCATGTCAGTGCTGTGGGGAACCAAGTGGAGGCAGAGCCGAGCTGGGAGCCGGGCTTTGCAGGAGGGAGAGTAAAATAAATCTGCTGCTGCCTCCTCTGCCAAGCCCAGGGAAGGGGCTGGAGGAGGCTGGGCTGCCTGGGATGCTGGGAGGAGGCTGTGCTGGCACGGTGGGAGGAGCAGGGGACGTGGGGCAGAGGGGGAAGTTCACCCTGCCAATAACTCAGGCTGGAATTTTTAAGGCCGCCTTGGGAACACGAACGCTCGCCTCTCCGTCATTTCTATTGGGCATCCCAAATCCTCCAGGCTGCTTTGGAAATCCCAGCCTAATCAGGCGAGTTGCAGGGAGGTCACAGCCTCCCCTCCATCTCTGTCACGCTGACACCAGCCCCGCCACCTTGGCAGTGGCCCTGATGAAGGGACCCTTGTTACCACTGCAGCCCCACCTCTCTCTCTCTCTCTCTCTCTCTCTCCAGGTGGGATTTGGGCTGCACAGAGCACAGCAAATCACACTGGAGTCTGACCTACTGGACACAGTTCTTAACAGCCCTAAAATCTCTGCCTGGGAGGCAGAGGGGCTACAGTGTCCTGTAGCTACCCCCAGGACAATCACTTAACCCCTTCACGCCTCAAGACAGCATTTAAAACTTTCCACCAGGCCCCCTGGATTGATGGTGCCGGAGGGTCAAAGGAAAACGCACATAAAACTGTGAAGTGACGGCCCCAAAATACAGAGTGGGCTGGTTAACCCAGGCAGCCAGCCCTGCCCAGGGGTGACTGGGGAGGAGAAGCAGGAGCATCCAGGGCCATGGAGCAGGAGCATCCTGACACCAAACAGACAGGGGGGCTAAGCATGCCATCTCCCAGGGGCTCAGTAATGTGCTCCCTCCATCCTCAGGCTCCTTCCTTTATGTGCAGGGCCGGAGGAGCCGGAGCCTCCACCCTGCTTGTTCCAGGGCAAACAGAAGCGGGGTCACTGGCTGTGCCCAGGCAAACAGCCCCCCAAGGCAGGGCTGGCTGGGCACAGGAGGTGACACTTGAGAGGCAACAGCTGTCTGGGAAAATCCCTCAGCCCCTTACAGCTCCAGACAATTCCGCAGCGCCGGCACTGCCCGCGCCCGGCGCCGACAGCCAGCGCCGCCGTCGGCATGTTCGTGTTCAGGGAGCGTTTTCATCCCTCCCCGCAGTCAGTTTTGCCTCGTTTCGTTACTCCAGGACAATTAGTTCCCCTTCCCTGCACTCCCATCCCATCCTGCTGCTGCAGACAGTGCCCGGCGAGGCCCTTATGCCCACGCAGCTGCAGCCGTGGGTCTGGAGCTCAGGGAAAACTCACTCAGGGGGTAATTCCTGCCCCTTGCTCCGTACTCACCCCAGCTGTCTGTTGGAGGGGGGGGCCTGGGTGATGACAGAGGTGGGGGATGGCAGTGTGGGGTGCAGGGGGTCGTAGCCCAGGTGCAGGGGCAGCGAGCCGGGGCGCACGATGGTGGGAGTGGGCGTGGAGAGGATGACAGGCTTGGAGGGAATCTCCTGGAAAACAGAAAACAGGGGACAGGCTGTTAATTATCAGTTAATTACCACAGGGCTGGCTCTTCCTCTCTGGGGAAAATTCAGGCACTTTTGTCACAAAACGTAAGGGAGCTCCTCTGCCAAAGACATGGATCTGGTGTCAGTGCAGGGAGTGGGGCACGGGAATTCACACTCCAAATAATCCCCCTCTCTGAATCCCCACCTTACTCAGGTGGTGAAAGCGTCACCTGGACTAACCTGCTCCAAATCCCCAACCCCCAGGACACGGGGAAGAGCAAAGCTTTGTGCATCAGCCAAACCCACCGGGAGCCTTCAGGGCAGCATTTTAGTGAACCAGCTTTCCTCTCTCCTCTCTCAAACAGAGGGAAATCAGGCCTCAAAGAGCCCAAATCAGGCCTGGGCAGCCCCACGTGGAGAAACAACCTTGTTCCCACCCGGAAAAGGGGCACCACCACCTGGTGCTGGGGAGCCCCACCTTCTCCTTGTGCTGGGGTGACCGTGGGTGGGACACGGGGCTGTCTGGTGGGGACGAGTCCACCTCCACCGGCTCCTCCTCCTTGATCTTGATCTCGGGAGTGGAGGGCAGGGACATGTCCAGGGCTCCTCCGGCGCTCTGCAGGGAGAACCAGCCACGGATTGAAAGGACAATTAGCTCACATTGTTCGTGAAACTGTTCGGCTGCTCCCAGAGGAAGAGCTCCAGCTCCGAGCTCTTGCCAAATTATTATTATTATTATTTATTTGTGGTGAGGCAGCATCTGGGAGCCCGAGGCAGGAGAGCGGTGCCGGCCCTGGCCAAAGGGAGATGGAGGCCCAGGAACGACTGTCGGCCCCAGATGGCACCGGTTTGTGGGTTCTCAGTAACACACACGAGTTTTCCATGGCTTATTTTTATAAAATTTTTTTTTTTTTTTTAATAAAAGGGCTCTGCTAAGGAGGACAGGTACCAAAGCCAAAATGCCTGCGAGTTACAGGAGGCACTTTCATTCACAGAAGAGCTGTAAAGCATTGTATAAATCAGCCTGAATTATTTTATTACCCGATTATCAAAAGCAAACAAAGAGCCATGCAAGTTATTAAATATCTATGAGCGCCCCATTAAAATAAAACCCAACCATATGCCTGAACCTGGCGACTTGCCACCACCCTGGGATCCAGCAGCGCCACGTGCCCCAGTTGAACCAGTTAACGACTTGCTGGGGCTGCAGAAAGGGTAGGGTGACAACAAAATGAGGGGGACAGCTTAACTGAAGGGCCACCTGTCCCCTTCCCAGACCTGGAGGGAGAGAAGAGCCGGGAGAAGATGGTGCATGGAGCGAGACAGGGATGGAGGATGCGGCACCAAATCACCCGGTCCCTCCTCCCGTCCGTCCGGGCAGGAGAAACTGTCCCTAAATCAGCCCTGACAGCTGTTTGTTCAGCCTGTTCTGCCTCCCTTCACCACCTATCCCCTCTGCTGGCTGAAAGTCCATCCTGGCATCTCCCCTAAACCCCCTCCTGCCGCATTGTGAGTCCTCTCAGGGGAGGGAAAAACTGCAGCGAAAGGGTAAATTCAGGTAAATTCGGGATGTTTGAGAGCCGGGTGAGGCTCCAGCCCCTCTGCCTGGGGGTGTTTTAGAGCAGGGTGAGGCTCCAGCCCCTCTGCCCTTCCCGGATTTCCCAGGGGGGGCTTTGCTTTCGGGAGGTGCAGTAACCATTTACCTGCCCTCTTCGAGCGGGAGATGTTGCTCTGGGAATCACAAAGGAGCAGGGATTAACATGCAGGGAAGTTTCAAACCGCTTAAAAGTGCCTCCAGGGAAGCTCCCCGCTGTGCCTGTGTTTTTAATTAACAGTGCTGGTGTGAGACCACCCTTGGAACTGGAGGACAAACACAACTGGATGCTGGAAGAGCCTCGGAATGGCAGCTCAGGGCAATGACCAACCAGCTGGGCACGGGACCTGCCTGGGCAGGAGGGGGTTTTGAAGGGATAACGCTTCCCGACACCATCCCAAGCTTCCCGAGCCCCCTCCGCAGGAACATTCAGACTGCAGCCACCCCAAAGCAAAACCCAGGAGAGCAGCCCTGGGCTGGAGAGGCGGCTGGGAGGCCGCAGAGCCCAGGAGCTGGGTGGTCTCCCTGCCCAGACCGGGCTGCTCTCGGTATTTCCCTGCGAAACCCCAGCGGTGTCGGCTCCTTCTCCTTCTCCTCCTTCTCCTTCTCCTCCTCCCAGCAGCGCTGCCAGAACAAAGGGCAGGAGGAGCAGCCCCCTCCGCATACCAATGAGAGAGATCAATTTCGGTTTAAAGAGCCTGTTATTGGGGGAGCGGGGTGGAAGCCAGGTTTCGGTTTTAATTCTGAATTCCTCCGTTCCCCATCTCGGGAAGATTTACGCGGCTCCGCTCCCGCAGTTTATTTCCGAGCAGCGCCGCTGACTGCGAGCGTATGTACGGACATACATCAATTTAGTAAATGTATGTGCCAGGCTGAGAGCCCGGCACGCATCTGCTGCTGCTCGGATCCGGCAAAGGGAGGGGAGGGTGGAGGAGGGGGGAAGGGGGGGGAAATGTCCTTAATTAGCTGCTTTCTGATGAGATCCCGTTGTCCTTCAGACCCTCGCGCTCCCGAGGCTGCAGGGGCAGCCTGGATCGATGGCGCTTTGCAGAGGGAGCTCTCTTTGTTAGGAAAAGCTTCCCCTCCTCCATGGAGCCCCCTCTCTCTCTCTCCGTTTCCACGCACCAGACACCTTGGAAATGCCAAAGGCACCGGCTGGGCCCGGTCCCTTCCCTGTGACTGCATCTCAAGAGGCACCACCGTTTCGGATCTCGACCCCCAAGGAGGCTCTGAACGAGATTTTGCTCAGATCCCGTCCTGTCCTTCCCTGCAGGCTCCCTCCCAAAAGTGCGAGGCATTTTGGGTACTACCCCCCCCCCTTTCCCTTTTTTTTTTTTCCTCTTTCTTTTTTCGAAGTGAAAAACCAAAGGAATAATAAAACATTAAACCCGTTCTCTGCAGGGCTCGGATGGCAGGATAACCAGCCAAAGTCACCCGAGTTACAAAAATAAAGCCCCCCACACGGCAGCAAATTAAACCTGAGAGCAACTCAGTTACCCCAGGGCGTGTGCCTTTCATCAGAGCAGCCCCTGCCCCCCCTGCCCTCCCCAGTTTGCTCCCAGCACAGTTTTATGGCAGCGTGGCCTTCGCCTCTTGCCTTTTTCTCATCATCCTCAGCAGCTTTCTTGAACTCGTGCTCGAAGGAACTCGCCAGCTCATTGAACAGTCCCACCTCCTCACAGTTCTTCAGGAACCGGGTCGGGGTCGGAGTCTGATCTGGTTGGGGTTAGAACACCAAGAATTGGGTCAAAGAGAGACCAGAAAATGCGTTTCACCCACCTGGGTCCTTCTCTGGGGAGCCCCGGGGAAAACGTGGCCTCTGTTTTGTGGAAGCCTGGCAGCTCTGCCACTGAGGTGTGTGTCACAAGCGACAATTGGAACAGGACAGTCATTTCTTGTTGGTTTTGTTTCTCTGGTGTTTAAAGAATTAACCACCGGAGCGAGAGGGACTGCAGGGGTTTCTGTGAATTCCGGGCTGTGGGTTGTGTCCTGCCCCTCCCACACTGAGGTTTCTGCTCGTCCTCAGCTGGACAAGGAGGGAAAAATCAGAGGGGTTTAATCTCCCTGAAACAGCAGATCTTAAAAACATGGGAGTGATGAGAGGGTAAAGCAGCTGATGGGAGCAGCTCCACGGCAGGGCAGAGTCCTCACAACCACCACTGTCCACAGCCATCCCTCCGGGGCTGTTCTCCACCACATTAACACGTTGAGTCATGATCTCTCTGGCCATCACCCAGGCCATAAAAGCAGGAGGAAAACTCTCTGTTTTCAGCCGGCCTCCCATTCCCGAGCGCCGGCAGGTCAGGAGTCCCGGAGCCTCGCACCGGCATGTCACACCCAAAGGATCCATCCAGCAGAAAACCACCAGGATTTTCACACACAAAGGGCTCATCCCTGGGATAAGTCTGGCCTGACCTGCATTAAACACCAGCTGCCTGGTGCTCCTGGTTCCAGCACAGCACCTGAAGTGTCTGTGGAAGACGTGCCCCATCATTCCACACCGGGCAGGGTGGAGCCTCCCCCATCCTTTGGGAAGGGACTCCAGCAATTCTTTTCCCTGCTGCTGTGGAACTACACTTCATTTCCAGCCTGACTCCAAACCCTCCCCCCTGGGTTTCTCACTAAAGCAAAGGCCCCCTTTGGGCACCTTTTCGCTTCTCCCCCAAGTCCCAATTCATAAACCAAGGAACTTTGTCAACTAAAGCTCTCGGCAGGAGGTTGTTTTTGCAGGGATTTATCAGCTCCCAGGGCTCTTTTCAGACCATTCCCTGCTTAGCAATGTCCTCCCGAGCTGCACACGCCAGCTCAGGGCACAGATCTCCAGCAGCTTCTACGGAGCACAAACAAAGCCGTGGAACCTCTCCGGGTCCTGCCCTTTTCCCCAATCCTTACCTCAGGAATTGCAGCAGCTCCTGTCTCGCCCCAGAAGCTCCCACCTAAATGACCCTCCTGCTGCCAGCTGTAACCAGCCCAGAGAACAATTCTTTACGACCCTCCTCAGCTCAGCCACGGCGCCTCAGCCAGACACGCACCGGGTCCTGCTCCTGCCACACGGCTGCTGCCCTGGGCTCGGCACGGAGCAGGAGGGAGGGAGAAAACCCAGAGACAAAATGGTGGCTTAAAAAAAAAAAACAAAAAACACCCCAGGACAGAAGGAATGTCAGGCAGTAACGGCCTGGATCTCACTGCTCAAAGGCAGCAGGGTTTATAGCCCTCACACCCCCTCCTGCAGCTCCAGCAGCAGGGAGAGCCTCTGTCAGACAGGCTGGTCCTGCCCTGGCTGTGGTTAAATTGGTTTAGGGTATATTTTTTTTTCTGTTGCTTAGCTCAGAGCAACCCCCAGAGCATCAGCCCTGGGGGAGCTGGAAGAGGAGGTCAGACCTTGTTCCTTGTGCTAAAGCTGAAGTGTTTCATCCCCTCAGTGTTTACCTGAGAGAGGAACCACCGGCTCTGGGAGCTGTGAGGATGAGGGGTGTCCTGTGGGATTTTGGGGTATCCTGTGGGATTTTGGCTGGGCATGGTGCCAGGCCCCCCCCCCCCCCATCCCCACCTGCCCAATCTGCCCCCTAAACTGATCGAGCAGCACCGACCCTCCCACTGTGCTCCCTTGTTTGGAAAGGGCTGAACTCAAGCAAAGGTGATCCTTAGGAATCTGAGCTCCTGTCAGCTTCTCCCCCAACTCATTTGCCATCAGCTCCCATTAGCCTGGTCCCATTTGGAATGAATTCTCCCTCTGGGAGAGCCCTCCCCCTGGGAGCAGCACAGGCTGTGTGAGCTCTCTTCCCATCCCACCCACTGCAACAATTCACTCGAATCCTTCCAAAAACCGACTGAATTCCCATTTCAACACTGGATTGGGGCTGGAGATAGACTGTGAAAAGGCTGCCGGGCTGCTGCAGCATCTTTGTTTCCCTTTACGAACTTTGAAGGCTTCAGGAAGCATTTTCGCTCTCCCTGCTTTCATCAACGTCCTTTTCACCCAGCAGCAACACAGACCTCTCGCACGACGCTTCGAGCAGCCCCAGAACGGGGCTGGAACCTGCCAGGAGCTGCTGCCAGACAACAATCTGTGGGGTTTGGTTTTTTTTTTTTTTTTCCCCCTCCAATTTTATAAAGGCTGCTTCGACCATGTGCTCTCAGAGTTCCTCAGTGGGGCTCTGCAAAATGCCTCCTTGGCAGAGCCAGTGCACCTGATGGGGGCTTTAATTTATGAACTGCAGCCTAAAAGCTCAGGAAAATTAACACCTGGGCTGAGAGGGGAAGCTGCTTTGTCAGGTTTGGTTCATCGTCCTCAAAGCACATGAAGAAACGTGAAAGAACCTTCTGGCCATAAATCCTCCAGTGTTAATAAAAAGGGCGAGAGCTAAAAAAAAAAAAAAAAAAAAAAAAAAAAAAAAAAAAAAAAAAAAAAAAAAAAAAAAAAAAAAAAAAAA